TTTGTTCAAGTGGCAGGACATTTGCATCAGCCCCGGTGTCTAGTTTGAATTCAATAGGAATCCCTCTAATAGTCATGGTTGTGTACCACGATTCTTCATTTTCACAGATTGCATTTATCTGTGTGCATTGAAGGGTCCCCATAAACAAACTATCAACAGCTTGGAGTGTCTGCACAGACTTCATCTTGCACATTTTTGCAAAATGGTTGGTTTTGCCACATGCTCTGCATTTAGCCCCATATGCTGGACACGATCTTGGTGGGTGTGTCTGTCCACATCTGGTACATGCTTTTGATGTGCCGCTGACTTTCTCTTTTTTGTTGTGAAATGGTGTTGCTTTAAAGGTCTTATTTTTGTATTTTGCTCCTTTGATCATGTCTAATGCATGCACTTCACTTTCTTTTTTTGCTGATGTCATTATGTTTATTCTTTCCTTGGCAATCTCAGATGCTCTGCATATGTCTATGGCCTTTTGTAGAGTCAGATTTGGTTCTCTCAGCAGTTTTTCTGTCACACTTTTGTCTGTCACACTAAAGACAATTTTGTCTCTTATCATGTCGTCCTCTGATGCTCCAAATTCACATTTTTTTTGCTTTTTTTGTCTGAGTTCTGTAACAAACTTATCAATCAGCATTGGCTCATAATGCATGTCCAGAACTGATGTCTCTCAAACACCAGGCATACTGTACATCTTTCAACCATGTTCTGGATCTCTGTCGACATGCCTGGCCAGTACAGGTATCTCCTTGCATGTTCATTGGAACACCTCTGGATATTGCTTCACCAGCTCTTCTTTTGTAGCAGGCACGATTGCACTCACTGGCTCTATACGCTTGACCAGATTCAGTTGTTCACAGGCAGCTCTGCCAAGTATTGGTGGTGTTGACTGTTCCGTAACAAAAAACAACAGCCTTGATTCATTTTGTCCCTTGTGGCACTTCAGGAATGCATAACCAGCCGGTCTGATCTTTGTGCCGCCGTATGCCACTAACATGGTCTCTGTGGGCTTGAGTGTGACGTCACCAGGTAGCTTTCTGATTCGTTCAAGTGGCAGGACATTTGCTTCAGCACCGGTGTCTAGTTTGAATTCGATAGGATCCCTCTGATAGTCATGGTTGTGTACCACGGTTCTTCATTTTTACAGATTGCATTTATCTGTGTGCATTGAAGGGTCCCCATAAACAAACTATCAACAGCTTGGAGTGTCTGCACAGACTTCATCTTGCACATTTTTGCAAAATGGTTGGTTTTGCCACATGCTCTGCATTTAGCCCCATATGCTGGACACGATCTTGGTGGGTGTGTCTGTCCACATCTGGTACATGCTTTTGATGTGCCGCTGACTTTCTCTTTTTTGTTGTGAAATGGTGTTGCTTTAAAGGTCTTATTTTTGTATTTTGCTCCTTTGATCATGTCTAATGCATGCACTTCACTTTCTTTTTTTGCTGATGTCATTATGTTTATTCTTTCCTTGGCAATCTCAGATGCTCTGCATATGTCTATGGCCTTTTGTAGAGTCAGATTTGGTTCTCTCAGCAGTTTTTCTGTCACACTTTTGTCTGTCACACTAAAGACAATTTTGTCTCTTATCATGTCGTCCTCTGATGCTCCAAATTCACATTTTTTTTGCTTTTTTTGTCTGAGTTCTGTAACAAACTTATCAATCAGCATTGGCTCATAATGCATGTCCAGAACTGATGTCTCTCAAACACCACATTCTTTTTAGGTGTGCAGTAGTTTCTGAATGCTTCCAGAATTTTGTCTACCGTCACTTCTTCTGGTGCTTCTTTTGCTATGTCAAAAGTGTTATAAATCTCTAGTGCCTCCTCACCTAATGAGTGTAGTAGAACTGCCACTTGAACTGTCGCATTCTTTTTAGAGAGCTCAGCTGCCATCATGTACAACACGAACCTCTGCTCCCATTTGCGCCAGTTTTCGCTCACGTTGCCAGTCAATGTCATCGCTGAGGGTGGCTTGAAGTGCTCCATTTTGTCTGATGTGCACGCCACTTTTTGCCCGAAGCCGTGCCTCAACTTTATATATTTTCGCCCTTCTTGCCGATGTCTTGACTATAATGTTGACGACAGCCCGCACTTCTGACACCATATCATGTTCTCATAATGTGGGTTCTATTCATAAAACATGAGAGGAGAGCACTGTGACTGTTAATCGTCTTTTAATACCGCAACCAGAACACCTGCAGATCGGAAGCAACCACTTCTACACTTCAGCATAACACTGCCCTCTAGTGGGACACTGATGAAACTATCATCAATACTCCAGACTAAGTTACTTTAATAACCTATATGCAGCCACATATACTACACCTCCGCTTTGCCTTTCAAGGCCAAGCATTTCAGTTCAGGGTTCTACCGTTTGGCCTATCATTAGAACTGAGAATCTTCACTCGGGTGATTGCAGCCACCCTAGCTCCTCTTTAGTTATGCGGGGTCAAAATCCTGCCTTATCTAGACGATTGGCTAATTTGTGCTCCTTCTCAAGAACAGGTGATTCGGAACACAGAGGAAGTTCTAGCTCATATTCAGTTCCTGGGGTTCACAGTGAATTGGAAAAAGAGCAGTCTCCAGCCCAAACAGCAGGTGGAATTCCTGAGTCTGTGTTACGATTTGTTATGTTTGTATATTAATTTGTTTGTGTTTCCCACTAGATCTTGATTGGTCTCCCTTTCTGTCACTCATCATGGGTTCCGCTGTCTCCGTTGACGCCTCCCCGCCGGAAGTATAAAAGGCGATGTCGCATCTGTTTTCGAGAGGAGGCTGGGCTGGGCTGGGTTTGTGTGCCTCTTTGAAATGATTGTAGCTTCAAGTATGCTTGCTTTGTTACCGTTTATGTTGTTGATTTGTCTTATTCTTTATTTTACCCCATGTATTTAGGTTTGTTATTCGATTTGAGTGTGGCGTGTGTCCATGCTCTTTGCTTATATGTTGGGAAGAGAGCAGTATAAGATGTCACGTGACATACATCGCGCTTCACGTAGTTTATTTTGATGTATTAGTTCATTCGTTTAGGAGTGTTGCCACCCGCTGTAAGTTTTGGTTTAGTAGTTAAGTTAGAGCATGCGAGTAGCACGCTGATGATGTTGTTCTGAATTTTATTTTGATTATTCTAGGTTAGATTTAAATTCTTTAGTTGGAAGAATTTTGTTTTAATTTGTTCTTTGATTTGGCAACACTCGTGCTCTCTTCATTACTTCCTTTGGTGAGTTTGTTAATCTTCAAGTCTTTTTCTTTTTTGTTTGTTAACTGGAAATATATATATACTTTTCCCTTTTGGATGAATTTAAAGCCTATATTTCTTGGTCTATTGGTTGGGGTTGAAATTAATAAATGTCTTTTCTCTGTTTGAACTTGTAGCGTTCTCCTCTTCATGACTTGCCCACCGTTTGATATGCACTATTAAGATCTATACTAAATGTTATTATAGAGGCTTATGAATGTTACCTTCCCTTAATATTCCTAGACATTTCAATTCCATTACAATGGAAGCATGTCTGACTTCCCGGAGAGCAGACAACCTGGAGAAGGCAATAAATCACTTTCAGACAAGGAAGGTTGTGACAGCCCACAGGGTACAGAAATTGTTGGGAATAATAGTAGCAGCCTCAGTAGTAATCCCCTTTACTACTCTGCTGAGGGCACGCCTTATACAATGGGTGGTTCAATTCTTTTCATCTTCGTCCGAAAGAGAATGAAGAAACAGTTGGTATCACAGGCCTGCATGCGAGCCTTACTTCCCTGGAGGGACAAGAGCTTCCTTTGCAGGGGAAACCCACTGGGCAATATTCCCCACAGGAGATCAGCGATCACAACGAATGCATCACTGATGGGTTGGGGAGCTGTTTGGGAAGGCAGGTCAGTAAATGGGAGCATAATAAGCAAATGGGAACCCCCTTGGTCATCAGAAAACATTAATGTGCTCGAACTGAGGGCTGTTCATCTTGCTCTGAAAGCCCTATTACCGATTATACACTACAAACATGTGCTGATAAGAACGGACAATACCTCTGCAGTTTACCACATAAGTCACCAGGGGGGGACGAAATCACTAAGATGCCTTCAGGTGACAACGGATCTGTTAATATGGGCATGGCCACGGCTGTCCTCACTGAGAGCAATCCACATTCCGGGAGCAGCAAACAGGGCAGCCGATATTCTGTCCAGAACGGGCCCTCTCCCCTGGGAGTGGCAGTTACATACAGAGGTGGTATCCCAAATTTGGGCCCGATATGGGACAGCCCAGTTAGATCTTTTTGCATCCCTGGAAACAACCCATTGCCCGAGATGGTACTCTCTCACAGTACAAGGGCAGCTTGGGCCTGGATGCTCTGGCACAAGAGTGGCCGACAGACTTATTGTATGCCCCCCCCTTTTCTCTAATCCCTCAAGTTCTTCGAAGGTTCAGGGAAGGTCGCTACATGATTTTGCTAGTTGCTCCACACTGGCCAGAAAGGCCATGGTTTCCAGAGATGGTTCAGCTGATTCAGGGTCACCCGTGGCAGCTACCATCACGAGTGGATCTATTGTCACAAGTGGATGGTCAAATCTGGCATCCGAACCCAATGGCCCTGCGCTTGTGGGTATGGCCCCTGCAGAGCCCATCCCTCAGCAGCTAGATGAGACTCTAAACAACGCTAGAGCCCCATCTACTCGTGCTAATTACGCCAGTAAATGGATAATCTTTTCAGAATTGTGCTTGGGCACAAATATTGACCCAGTAACCTGCTCTGTGCCGCTTGTTCTTTGTCTTTTGCGATCTCAACTAGACCAAGGCAGAGCAGCCAGTACGATCAAGGTCTATACCCCATTCCATGGGGGGGGGGGTTTATGGCCAGCCATTAGGCCGACATCCCTTGATATGTCAGTTTCTGAAGGGAGTTCGTCGTTTGTGTCCAAATCGCACTTTGCGGCCACCAAATTGGGACTTGCCCCTTGTATTAGACTCTCTCACTAAGCCCCCTTATGAACCAATGGCAGATGCAGATTTTAAAGCTTTGTCCTTGAAGACAGCTTTCCTCTTGGCCATCTGCTCTGCTAAGAGGGTAGAGGAATTGTGTGCGCTATCCAGTAGTAACGACTGTCTGCGTTGGAAACCAGATGGCACAGGAGTGTCACTTTGGACAAACCCTGCCTTTTTGCCAAAAGTGATTAATCCTCAGTTTAAGAATCAAATACTTCAGTTTCAACCTCCTTCACAGACAGAACAGGAAGGTTTGCTCACCCTATGTCCAGTAAGGGCATTACGCACCTATGTGAATGTTACTTGAGAAAGTCTCATTCTCAGCTTTTTGTTTGCTATGGAGAAACCAGGCTAAAGGGTTGCCACTTTCAAAGCAACGTTTGTCACACTGGTAGTTCCTCACGACCCTGTTGACATGAGTCATCCTATTTAGACCATTAGTGATGGTCAGAGTGAGGTCGAAACAAATCGTAAGTTATGCATTTAACTATGGATCTGTGAGACCAAAGTATCCTCCTCGTAAGCACAGTCAGTCTTAAGTGAACATAATTACAGTAAAGAAAATATCGAATGTACATCAGTATATCAGTATAACGGCTCCGTGCATTTCTTATGTTAATAATGTTAATCAAAAAGAACAAAAGAAAAATAATTCGCTGCTCTTAAAGGGGTCATATGATGCTTTTTTAAAGATCATTATTTGGTGTATTTGGTGTATTTGGTGTAACAGAATATGTTGACATGCTTTAATGTTAAAAAAAACACATTATTTTTCAAATACTGTACATTATTGTAGGTCCTCTATGCCCCGCCTCTCTCAAACGCTTCGTTTTCTACAAAGTCCCTCCTTCCGACAAGTGCAGTCTGCTCTGATTGGCCAGCTGACCCAGTGCATTGTGATTGTCCGAACACCGCAATACTAGTTAGAAATGTAACGCTCCTTACCATAATCGCGAGCTTCATCTTTCAAAATAAATGTAAAGACAGAGCCCGAAAGGGGAACAGAGTCGCGTGACAGACACAGTGATGAAGCTGGTATGTGTTTGCAGTACACAAGCCACGGTTAAGACAGCTGACTCCCCTGTGATGTGACCACACACACACACACACACAATTACTTAAACTAATAACAAAACAGTAGTTGATTCAGAAGCGCCAGGTTGTCATAGCAAAGTCAGAATTACCTCCTCTCCTAGGTTCACGAAACGGTCGTCCATAAAATGCATTGCTGTTCTGTTGTAAGTAATCTTAAAGATTCCTAAATGCATCTACTTTCGGAAGGCCAAATAAAGTGCTTTTGCGTTCGCCTAGAAACACACAGCGTCTCCCTGACATGGCTGCTTCAACACTAACTGCGGTTACTGAAACCACGCCTTCTTTCTTTGCGTGCACATTTGGGCCGCATTATGCAAATATTTCCACATAGTGAGGTAGATATGTTGGGGGCGTGTTAGAACGAGCCGTTTTAGGAGGGCGTGGCAGAGTCTTAACTTTGATAAAGAATATCTCTTTGGATTTGAGACTTTAGTCTTTGCAACTTCAGGGATCTTATCTATGCACAATCAGCTTGTAACACTCCAAAGAGAAAGGCAAACTTGAAATCACATCATATGACCCCTTTAAGTAAGTAAGTGGATATTTGTGTTGACACGAGTTCTGGTCTCATTGGCACAAATTAATTTAGAAGAGATCAGAGTAGTTACAACTGTACTGATTCCATATTGATTCCACTCATTTATGTCACACGGACTTCCAAAGCTCTGTATGGTCACGTGATTTTGTAAACCGTATATCCTCTGCTCCGCTTTGATTTGTTAGATATGGAGAAAACAAGTCTGACCACCAGATGTCGCTAATGCGGATTGTGTTAAAAGCTTCGTGTAATAATGAACCTTTTTTCGGCACAATTTGATGAAAGCCTCAAACGGTTCAGAAAGCCTCGATTTATGAAATCACTTGTACTCTACCTGATCGAAAAAATCCAGTCTTTCACTCTGCCTGTGTCAATTTGAGTCTTGTTAAAGTTTAAAATCCCTGCCGCCAAGATGCTACAGGATTATGGAAAGTGAAACTTAAATCTATAGGGGTGGTTGGATTTATTCACGCACGTTAAAATATTTATTTGAAGCTTCTTTCTTTTCCGATTCTTATTTACAGCATTATTTTAATAGGCTGTATATTAACTTATTGTGAGAAAACCAGTAGTTCTATGTGAAATCAGACATTTGACCCCCCCCATATTCGACTGTGAGATTGGTAGTCGAATCAGGCTCCTCCTATCGAAGCATCGAATCTTCGACTATTGGGGTCACTCCTAGTTTACAGTGTATGGTGCACATTTGTGCCATTTTATTAAAAGGTAATGTAGTGACCCTGTGTGGTTTTAGCATGAAGCATTGCAACAACAAAGTGTGCACAGAAACAGAACAGGTTGTGTTTGCTTCCCATGCTTCTCTTTAACAGAGGTATTTTAGCCACATATATATAAATCATGTGGTATAATGACGGTGAATCACACTTTTTTCATAGAGCATTTTTCTTTCTTTGTGTCATAGGTCTTCTTAAACACCCCTGCACTGTCAGTTAGACACTGCGTCATTCACAGAGGAAGTAAGACCTGATGCACTCCCACTGACACAGACACAGACTTTAAGAACAACACGGTTACAAAGCGCGAGTCATCTGTCTTAATTAAGGGTTATTCTTTGGAGCATCTTTACAGAGTAAATTAAAGGTAAGAATATGAAAGCTGTGAAATTTTCTTGATTTTTATGTTCATTCTAATTTGTGTAAGTAATACTTTTGCTAATGTACTCACATTGTTCCTTATTTAAAAATAGTGTCTTTTTAATAATGTATTTTATAACATAAACGTGTTTTCATGAAATGTCCAGCTTATGTTTTATGTATATATAGGCCCACTGGGTAGTCTAAAGACTTTTTGAATCCTTGTTTACCTGATAAAAAGTTTTAAAAACATAGGATTTGAAAGGGGAAAAAAGCATAAATTTAGGTGTTTTTCTTTTTTTTCAGTCCTGTACATGCACATCTTAATCGGTGTGTTTGTTCTCACCAAGTAATGTTGGAAATAAGTAAACTCCTGTTTGTTCTGGTGAAGGAAGTTCCACAGGAAACGCATGACAGACCGTCAAAATTCTACACACGGCTCCATTTAGCAGCTTTATGTGTTAGATATTATTCTACTCTGTCAGCTCTACCTTCAGTTTTGGGGGGAAAACAGGAAAGTTTTTTTTCTGACTTTACCGAGTCAGGGATTTTTATATTGTGTATGCAAGCAGTTTGGGAAAGAACACAATGTCTTAATGTGAAATAACAGTTTGACCTCGGCTCCTGTGTGTTTGATATCTTCACAGAACACAGTGGAAGATGTCGTGTCTGAAGTGCCTGAAGTACACCATGTGTGTGGTGAACTTCATCTTTTTTGTATGTATCCATTTTCAGACTGTCACAGCATGATATACTATATAACGGCTTTTCATACTAATAATTGTTCATCTCTGGCCATTCTGAACCCTGAGTTACCAAATTCCTGGGTTTGGCCTATATTTTTAAATGTTTAAAATGTTCACAATTAACCGTCAGAATTAATCCTGCGTATTCAGGTTAAGGTTTCACATTTTTACCATTCTAATTTGTGGATTTTCACTTGTTGGTTGGGGGATGGGGTTGACCTTCATTAAACCGCTTACCTCAACAACAACAACAAAAAAAACTAGGCATAATTACATATATAAACAAAATAATAACAAGATATATAAAAGCAAATTATAACAAATTAATCTTAAAGGGAGATAATCTGTCTATTACAGCGTTTTAAAGCCATTGCTTTTTTCGGCTGCTTTGAGGATTGAAATCTACAATCAATTAAACAAATATATATATATATATATATATATATATATATATATAGTAAATAAAACTTACCTATAATCAAAATATTACTGGACGAACTCACAGCATGCGACCTGTTGAAATAATGGACATCAGTTGGGCTTCTTCCTGCCTGTACCACCCAGTTTGTCCTGAAGAGACAAATGGACCATTTTCGGGATAAACTGCAAGAATAGCATGCATGCTTTCAAGGTTTGACTTCTTAATTTTTCCCTCAAGTGTATGAATATTTAATGAGGTAAGTGGTGTTCAGATTATGATTGGTTGTTTGTTGCTAAACAACTGGCAGCTACAATTTGCAGTCGTTTGAAAAAGTATACGTTTGGCTAACTGCTTTGGAGTAGGGTTTCATTACCCAGGGTAGTGCTAACCCCCTTTTAAAATCACAGTTGTAAAACTTTGTTTTACCTGGGGTTAAAAGCAGGGTTTAAAAAGGTGCCAGTAGCTATTTACACAATGACTATTACACTGTAGAAAGCATAAGCACAAATAACTTATTTTTTTATGAGGCATACTGCAAATATATGAAACAAGTATTAAGGCTCTCTTGTTCCTTTGAAATTACTGTTCCAGATCTGTGGGGCTACTGTCTTTGGATTGGGCATTTATTTGATGACATTCTCCAGGTTCTCTTCCCTACTCCCCAGTCTTCAGGCTATGAACATCGCAAACACTCTTTTCATCACTGGGATCATTATCACCTGTGTCTCCTTTTTGGGCTTTCTCGGAGCCCTGAAGGAAAATCGTTGCCTGCTTATATCTGTGAGTCTCATGCAGAACATGTTAGCATCCATCACTTGCCTCTTGTCTCTGTTGTCCACTAAGTTTAACTTTCTAGGTTCTTTCAATAAAACTCATTATCTCCATTTGTTTGCTTTAGTTCTTCATATTGTTGTTCATTCTAATGCTGACTGAGCTGGTTGCTGCCTGCCTTTTGCTGATGTTCGAGTCACAGGTAAGAAACAGGCAAAAATTAAGATTTGTATATGGAAGCAGTGCATATGTGAGGAAAAGTTCATCAGCCTGCTTGTTTACTCACAGATTGACAACTTCATTCATGACGATCTTAAGAAAGGTTTACAAAATTCCATAAACAACAGACAAAACTACAATTACACAATTGAAGATGACTGGGACAAAGTACAAATGACAGTAAGTGCCCATTTAGATGATGTGTTTCTCTTTTATTAGTGGTGCTTAAGAAACCATTACTATTGCTTACTATATATCACTCACATTTTCTTCATAATAAATAAATAACAGTTACAGTTTTTCTTATAAATCAACAGTTTCATTGCTGTGGAATTACTAACCATACACAATGGGGGACACATGTACCGAAGTCATGCATCAAGCCAAATGAGATGCACCATTGGCCGGATGTAATTCTGCACTTACATCCATCTCTATATCAGCTATATAGCAAAACAATATTAATGAAACACAGATAAACCAGATGTGGAGATGCACATCAAATATGCACATCTGATTTAATCTTATATCATATGTATTGTCTTGATTGTTGTATTTAGGGTTGTTTCACAAAGCTGAAGGACACGTTTGAGAAAAACCTCTTGAACACAGGGATTGCCGTCATTGTTATCTGCATTATTGAGGTTTGAGTTTCCAGGCCCCACAGTTTTTCAAATTATTGAATGATTATCACATCAGTTTTGTTTAGCATCTATAGTTTTACAGCTGATGCAGATCAACACTAAACTAGTATAATATGATAACTGCAAGTATTTTTGTATCTTGACTAAACATCATCTCTCCTTTTGTAGGTCTTGGGTATGTGTTTCACCATGACCCTGTTCTGCCACATACGTCAAACTGGTTTAGGATATAAATAATCAAAAACATTTCCATAGAAGAACTATATCCGTCTTTCACAGTTTGTGTTCTAAATAACAGTTGTCCCACAAATACCCAAAGACAGCCAATAAAAGACAAGATGGCTCGCAGTTCTTACACAGATGCTCGGTTCTATAGTATATGTATGGTATTTGTCCAACAGTGATACAAACCCATAATTATTGTAACTGCATTATTATTATTTAGCATGTATGAATAACAGTTATTAAAGCAGTTAAACCACAACTGGTTCTTAAAAATAAAATAAAAACTGAGCAGTATTATTTAGCCTTTGGCCATTTCAAGGGAGATTTAAACACTGAATTCACCCACTTTCATCTGAATGTCAATTTATAAAGAGGGTGTAAGAGATTTTCCATGAAGAATTATCTTTACACAAAGATGTAATGCCATATTACATATACGCATTACGTATATAGGTACTGATTATCTTTCACGTTATATAATGTTGAGATTGACCTAATGTTCCTGTAACTGACGTGTTACCTAGACTATAATTGACTTGTTACACAGACTATAGTTAAACAATGCACAGCATCTATTTCTGATCCCTCTCTTTTCTGACTAGCTGCAGCAATGGCTAAACCACATGGTTTCCCAATATGCACAGGGTGGGAACCACACATGCTTACTTAACAATTTCACTATTTTGTAATGCATAATATTGTTATAATATTCTTCTTTTCTCTGCAAAGTAATGTGAATTAAACTAAAACAGAATTTAAGTGTTTTCTCTCCTTTTTGAAACGTTAAGGCAAATACAAGCACCATGTCTGTGGTTGATAGAGGAAGTGCCATCAATAGCAAATCAACACTTCCTCCACTAACAAGTGTTACGGTCATGATGAGTGGCTTGAAAAGATGCTTTCGGTTATGAATTTGCATTTAGTTCATGAAAGTTTAAATGTGTGTTGTAAAAGGCATTGAAAATACCATGAAACTAAACATCAGAATTCAACTTTTATTTTTAGAACAAAATCCTGTCTCCACAATAATTAAGACCCCCCCCCAAAAAAAACTAAACTAAAAAAATACTACGATTTCCTTTACATGTTTTAAAATAATTTTGTTCTTTCTGAACCATCACACAAAAAACAGAAACAAATACAATTTAAAGTAACTGTACACGGCAGAATACACAATTTTTTCGCAAACACCCCTTAGACCTCTTCATCTATACACACATTATTGCAGTTCACCTAAAATATGCAAAACTATTCCTTTTAAACAAAACTGATCTTTCGTTATACTTTCTGTTCTGAAAAATGGTGGGTTGTATACCGATCTAAAGTTTCACCCTTTTGCGCCCTTGTGCCAAAGCAGAAACTGAATCTCATATACTGATTATCATATTTTGGGCTTAATGGAAACTATAAAAGTGTGCTTTGAACAAATGAGAAGCTTACAAAGATACAAGGGAAAAAAGTATTTGTCCCACATGTATCAAGAGGGACGTTAAAGCCATTAAGGCAATGCTGCAACTATCCAAAGTTGGCAGAAGTAGTTACTGTTCTAATGATCTAGGACCAGTTATGGTTTCTCATACAACAAGGCAGGCTGGAATTTGGTGGGAAAAACAGTTCCTAAACCAGAGTCTAATTCTATAGAGGTTTCTTGGCTTGTTTTAAAGCCACAAAACTCATTTATAGCTTTAATTGTATCATAAATCTCAATAGAACTAACTGTGCATCCAAATCTATACAAAAATAAACCGATAGTCTTGCTTTCTCAACCATTACAAACAGAAAAAAGCATATAGTGCCATCTACAAATGCTTGATAACTCAACTACCTCATTTTGTACTGAACAATATTATTACCACTGGTTTGTTAGGAAAATTCTACACTTGCAGTACCACATCATCATTCTACAAGAATCCAGAAGCACTTCAGCTCTGCTAATAACAGAGGAAGTGTGTAATTAAACAGAAATATATAAAGATAGCCAGGTTTGTCTGAAACTACAACATATTCATTTCTAACAGTCACTGAGGGGATGTGAAACCATCTTTCGTGAGCAAGATGCCTAGTGAATTTTCCACAGGCATCATATTTGGAATGAGTACAGCTCAACGGGGGACCCAGCCCCATTCGAATATTGCTAAATAAGAACCAAAGCTCTGACTTTAGTACAAGTGTCAGTTACGAATCAATAAGTTACATATATTAAGACTCCATTAAAAGGACAGATGGAAGATGTAGATCACACAAGGCCCCATCATTGTAGGTTTCAGTCGGTCCTATTGAAACCAGCTGAATGGGAGGAAAAGGAACTTTAATATTGCTTTTAAACAGCACAACTGTTTTGCAAAGACATACTTTTGAGTTTATGGAATAAAATGAACCACCTGAAAGAAGAATACGGCATCTCACCCCATGCTGCCACTCATTTGATCGGAAAGAAATGCTACAAAGTTTCTGTTCCTCCTGCACTTATCAGAGCCCTAAGAGAATTGCAGAAGCGAAAGAGCATCTTAAGTTTGATCCTCTCACTCAACACTAAAACTAGTCGATTAACCGGTGGTCAGCAGCGGGTCTAAAGTTAGCAGCCTTATTTAAGAAGTGGAAACCTCTTGAGAGCATCGACTGGAACACCACCTTAAAGCTGCTGTGTGACTGAAACATAAGGCCATTTATGGACATTGTTTTCAGACACTTAAAAGTGACACTTAAGTTTCAAGATGCAAAACAAAATCAACACCCTCCAAAACTAATCGCTCAACACTGAATGTAGAGCTGTGAACAAAATCTCTTCAGTATCTCGGCGTGTGAGCTACTGTACAAACGTCCCAACAGCAAGGGCAAAGGCGACCGGTTAACAGCACCACATGCAAACACAATGCATTAGTTCAGAAGTCAGACTGGGATGATGTGCCAGTACTAAATTACCAGGCTTGCTTATGGTCATCATGTGCCATTTTAGTTTAGCTTGTGAATGTTTACTCAGTTTTAAGACGCAACATTTTAAAATGAAAAATCATTCATTTATAAATCCAGAAAGCAAATGTACTCATTTCAAAGCAGTAAAAGAAAAACGTAAATCCTTCCTTCCCCATCAATTCAGGAAGTGAACAACTGCTTAGAGAATACAACAGGATTTGTGCCATTTTCTTGAAATTTCATTAAGCTACACAATTTAAAGCTGACCAACATACAGAGGAAGCCCAAAGGTAAAGCCAAATCGGAGGCATTTTTTGAAATGCACGGCAATTACTAAGGGCACAACAAGTCACATGTACATCCAACCAAATCCTGACACCAGTTAAGAGTTTAAGCAATATTTTCTATTTGAAAAATAACGGATTTAAAAATACACCAAAACAATTGCAATGAGCATATGATAATGTTTATGATCATGGACTTAAAGCAACTGACTACAAACCAATCTGTGAGCAGAGAGTCTCTGTGACTAATGTAGATAAATAGAAGTCTTCACATTGTGCTACTGCTGGCCAATGAAGTTCAAGCAAGGAGAACAGGGAGAGAAAAAAAAGAAAATCGCCATGCTAGTTTGCGTGTTCTAAAGTAAAATGCTACTTTCCTCTCAAAGTAAAAACGTTTCACACATTTGGAAATATACCTCAAAAAAGGAGGTTATTAAGATTGTGCCGATACATTGCTGATATGATGCTTGGATTTCAAAATCCAATAAGTGTACTAAGAGAGCACAGTTTATGTCCTGCTTCCGTTTTAAAAAGCAGCTGGTCCAGACAGAATCTGACGTTCTCTACAGGCAGCTTTACAGAGAAGCAGCTGGAACAGAAAAGAGGAGGGCGTGAAGGTGAACGAGTAGATAAATGTGATGCTGTGGGTGTTTGACTATATGTGGGACCAATGAAGTAATTAGGGTGCTCTCAGGAATGTGTGGAATGATGAGAGGAGCTCTGGATTCCATGCTGGGAATGATGCTGCATGGCATTTTGGGAGAGGAGCGGATCGTCTCTGGCAGTCTCACAGAGGCATGAGGCGTGTGGTGTGAAGAAGCAGCGGGTTTAGGTCCTCTGCGTGTACAGCACGGTGTAGAGAGGGCTCAGAGGCACTCCGCTCGATTTTTGGCAACAGATCCTGGACCTGCTCAATGCCCACCAAGATCTGAAGAACAGCAGGGATGAAACATGAGAGGCTGTTGCTTAATCGGACATAACAATGCTGGAAATCAGAGAAGGGATCTGGTTTATTCTCACCTGTGGGAAGAGTGGCCGCTCATCACGTTTGAATTTCAGACAGTCGATGATGAGCCTCTTCATTGATTTAGGGCAGTTACTGCATAATTTACTGAGGTCTGGAGACAAGTACCCACGACCCACCATGAAAATAATCTACAGGAAGAGAACACCCGAAAAGAAAAAAAAGAAAAATGCATTTCATAGTTCATGTTCACACAAACTTCTCCTTCTGTGTTCCAAGGAAGAAAGTCATACAGTCAACATGAGGGTGAGTAAATGATGACAGAATTGTTATGTTGGGTTGAACAAAGTTCATTAAAAACTATTTACAGCTTGAACAGAAGGTTTCTGGGCTGAAAAGGACAAACTATTAAACTGTGAAACTACAAGCCAATCCCTGATTCATAACTGTAAGATGGCAAAGTGATGGTGGTGTGTGTCTGACCTGATCGCGGTTGTTGATATTCGAATAAGGCAAAGTCCCAGACATCAATTCATAGAGCACCACTCCATATCCATATACATCTGACTGGAAGGTGTATGGGTTAGTGTCTTGCATTCTGATCACCTCTGGGGCCTAAAAACAACAGCAGAGTGAAACAAGCTGTACAAATGTATTTCTCAACAATAAACGCAGGATGAAACTACTTCACATAAGTGATAAGCTACTAGGTATAAGACTCATTGATGATTTAATGAAATCGAGGTATTGAGCTGGGTGACGATTACTCACCATCCACAGGATGGAGCCACTGGGCTGTTCAACCTGCTGAGAGCCACTCCAGCGAGACTTTACTGTGGCCAGCCCAAAGTCACCGATCTTTACAGTCCAGCCTTCATGCAGGAAGATATCTGACACATGAGCTCAGGAGTATCATGCAGAACACAGAATGACTACAACATCACTAGAGAGAATGCATTAGCATTATTATTCCAGTAAATCATCAACCTTTGCCTTCAATCTTATGCCAGTAATAATTTTGGTAAATCAGACAATTCTTTATTTACAAACATATTAAAAACAGAAAGCAGCTTGGCAATCTACAGGCAGCAAATTAGTTGAATCCGATCTATCCTGCAACAGATCTCTCTCACAACACAGACAAGAGCACTGCTAATACATTATAGAAAGGATACTATTGGATTTCAAGTCCCGATGAATGATATTCTTGGCGTGAAGGTAACTGTTAAGGAAAGAAAAGTAGCAAATGATGTACAAATTTGAGATTTTAATTCAATTAAGTTTCTACACTCCATCTATGCTCTGTAAATCCAAGCATTACTAATAGGCAGTACAATCATATAACATTGGTAGATTTAAGAGGACATGTGCTAATTTTCCATGATAGTGTGTCCTAGTGACTCTGAGCTGAACAAAGAGTGCCATTAAGTGCACTGTCTTCTGGTGTGAGCAGCTCCTCAAGATGTTTTTCCCCCCATTAAGTTACAGGTGATCTTTGTTATCACAAGTCCAAATTACAAGCAATTTACCACTATTAATTATGTACTGATCATATCTAAACACACTAGCTGATAATATAATAATGATATATTATTGATTGACATGAGTGTTTAAGGAAATTATGCCTTTTAAAAAACACACTACTGTTGAATAGTTTGGGGTCGATTTTCTTAAATGTTTTCAAAAGTCGTCTCTTATGGTCACCAAGGCTGCACTTACTATAGTATTACAATTTTAAAAATAACTTTCTATTTGAACATGTTGTATAATGTGATTTATTTTTGTGATGTAAAACTGAATTTTCAGCATCATTACTCCAGTCATCAGTATCACATGACCCTTCAGAAATCATTCTAATATGCTGAATTGGTGCTCAAGAAACATTTCTGATTATTAACAATGTTGTAAACAGTGGAGCTGCTTAATATTTTTGTGAAAACCATGATTGTTTTTTAGGATTATTTGATTAATAGAAAGTTCAAAAGAACAATTTATCTGAAACAGAAATATTCTGTATCAAATGTCTTCACTGTCACTTTTGATTTAATTTAATGCATCCTTGCTGATTAAAAGTATAATTTACTTACGCCAAACTTTTAAACAGTAGTGTACATTAGTAAGTTTTGTTATATTAACATCCTTTAATTGGAACAGCAATTATGCTACATGTAGGATAGCAGCTATCCCAAGCTGTCAATATAGGTTAAATAAATCTTACTCCATGCCCTGTGCAGTCTGGCGAGCAACATCAATACGGCGCATCGTGTCAAACTTGGTCTCAGTAACATGCAGGTGGTGGTAAAGGCTGCTCCCTTCACACCACTGCGTGATAATGGCAAAATTAGGCTTCGTCATGAAGCCCATGAACAGCAGAATGTTGACATGGCGTGTTTTTCTGAGGAGCAAGAGTATCAAATTAGTCATACTGAACAGTCAACAGTCATACTGACATCTATTTGAACTAGATTATTTGAACTGGAGATTAGTTGGCTGTAGCAGCAGTTGATATTATTAATGTAGTAAAGCAGCATTAATGAGAACTACCCTGATGAAAAAACTATATATGCTGCTGGTTAGTTATGTTTTGAAGCATGGCAGCTGGTTTGTGCTGGTTTAAGCTGGTCATGTTCTGGTCCTAAGCAACTAGCTCCTGCTCAGAACCAGCTCATGACCAACTAAGGACCAGCTTAAACAGGCTGACATGCTTCAAAACATACCTAAACAGGAAATGCTGTTTTTTTTAACAGGTTACTGCTATACTGTCCTCACCGGCAGGCTTTGAAGATATGATCATGCAAAT